AAAGCCACAAATATATTTTTTTCCTATAAAAAAAAAAAAAAAAAAACCAGCGATTAAAAATACCTGCTTTTGCGCAATCTCAAGCAGCTGTACTTCAAGCTTCTCTCCTCTCAGTTTCAAAACCTACAAAAGAAAAAAAGAAAGAAAAAGTTCGATTCTTTTGGCTTATTTAATTATTGAGCTTTCGAAAATGGGCATGGAGTGAGGGGATAATTACGGAGAGAGGACGGACGGAGAAGCCTTTGCTGAGAGCAAGGCCGGTGCGGGACATTCCCAAATCTACCCCTAAGCTGAAGCCTCCTCTCCAATTGGGGTCAAGTTTCCGGCGGAAGGCATTCGGCGGAATTTCATCTACCAGGGCTGCCCTTAAAACTCCATGGTGGTAAGCCTTGTAATTGCGTGGTTGTTCCCGAAATAGTTGAAGAGAAAAGGGGGCACTTTTGGGATTACGACCGGCGCAGAGGAACGGAGTTTGTAGTGATGGTGGTGATGAAGCTAGTTGTTGTTGCAGTGACCACATCTGGATTTATGAGTTGCAAAAGCAATAGCTGTTATATTGCTTGTTCTTTTTTTTTTTTTTTTGCCGTTTAGTCAGAAAATACTCCCTGTTTTCAATTGCTGCAGTAAACACATATATTTTCTGGTCAACAGTCCTGTCGTTGTTAATAAACCTGTTGTCGTTTTCCTATGTCGTCATCGTTTTCTTAAAGCATTATTTTTATAAATATCCCGAATTATCTATCTTGTTTCAAAGTATTCTCGATTTTTTAAAACAGTTTAAAACATCTCCCATCTATAAAAAAACGTGTTAAATTATGTCAAATTACCTCTTCCATTCACTTCTGAGTATAAATTTAACATATTGCTAGCGTGGCACCTCATTAAAAAGTTTATAAAATATATTTTAAAATATAAACCATTATTAGTAAAATTGAATAATAAAAAATCAATTATTCTAAATATAAATTTAAATAAGATTAAACTTTTTTTTAGCAATGTATTGCAACCCATAAAATTAACCATTCAAAAGAAAAAAAAAAAAAGGAAAAAAAAAAAACTCATGAAATTAAACCAGTATTCCTTCTAATATCACCATGTTTGCTTTCCTAAAAAAAAAAAAAAAAAAAAAAATCACCGTGTTTGCCCATGGATAAGCATAACTGATGATCATGTCTGCAAACTTAAAATAGAGATTAGAGAGAAAAAAATGGGATCCAAAACCACAATAATTTCAGCCCACTGATGATCAATTACTTCAAATAGTCCAAGAATAGCCATCGTTCTCCTTGAGTTGGAGCAATTTATGAAAAAAATTCCAGATCTGAACTTGCTATGAAAACGAAAGAAAAAACCTCAAGACAAGTCTGGGTTTGGCAAAGGCCAAATAATTAGTTTTTTTTTTTTTTTTTAACTTCTTTTTTCTTATTATTTAATATTTAATCTTTTTTATGAATTTAATTAGTATGTAATATTCATAATATATCTTTAACCCTGCGCCACATAGTAAATCTGTTAAATTTATAAACAGAAGTGGATGAGGGTAACTTGATCCGTTTTTTATATATTAAGAGGTGTTTTGAATAGTTTGGAAAAATTTGAGAGCACTTTTAAAACATGATACATACTTCACAAATATTTATGAAAATAATCCTTACTTGAACGATGTTGCCTTTCTATTAATGTCGTTCACCGAGCAATGAAGTATTGAAGTTGTACTGTTGGCGAATTCATTATCGTTTCACGTGGGTTTTATGTCGTTTTTAGTTACACTGACGTTGTTCTAGGTCATTGTCGTTTTCCTTTTTATGTCTCTTTTAGTTGTCGCTATATCACTTCAAGTCGTTTTTAAGTTTGTCGTTTTCATGGTCGATGATGGATGAAGTATGAACCACATCTAGGATTAAATATCTTTCTACACAAAAACGGCATGTCGTTTATGTTCCTGCACGGCTTCTTCTGTATTTTTTTTTCCCACATTAGTACATTACTCGGTTTGACAATTAAATAACAAAAAGGAGATTAGAAACTGCTAAATTATTCTATAATGCTAATTTTATCGTTAATATTGATTTCATGTATTCACATGGAAAGTTGCATGAACCTAAATAAGTGAAAGCAAAACATTTTATTCAAATTTCACTATGTATTAACCTGATAACAAAATAAGTGAAAGCAAGAATCATTTTGTCAATCACGTTCTGGAATCAAACAATCATGCACATATACAGCTCCCAAAACATATAAGCATTGCAATTAATTAAACCTCCTTTGTACAGAAAAGAAAGAAGAAATTAATCTGAATATGATCAACAAAACTTCCAATGGTGGTTGCAGTTTGATGCAAGTGACTTAGGTAGTCATGAGCGCAGCAGCAATCCTTGTCTGCATACCAGACTACAAACACGAAAATTTTCAGCACTTCGAGGAAAATATGGTGATAACATACAAAAACAATTGAGAGCTAGAAAGAGTAAAAGTGAGCTCTAACTTTACCATGGAGTTGAGGAGTGGTAGTTGTTGTGCATTGCTATTAGCTGATGAAGACAGTCAAGAATCTTACACAAATTACTCATACGCCATGTATTCCCACCAAGTGTGCGAAAATGAGATGGAGGGTATATGTTGCACCTTGTGGAAATCTTCCCCTTCGATTCCATCTTCGACTTTAAGCCTGTTTTCGAATACCTTCCACATGGAACAAATATTCAACTCGCGAAGAGTGGTGACATATTTCAGCCCCTCCGGCATCATCCATAGTTTTGGAATGCGTTCTATATCTAATCTCTTGATATTGGTCATTGCACTTTCTTCCACTTCCCACTCCACTAATCCTTGTAACCGACGAAGCTTGAGAATCTCCAGCTTAGGAAACCCACCGGCAGAGCACACCAATTTGTACCCTTCATAGTGTGATCTGTCCTCAGTATCATAACTCAAGTAGTCACTCCTCAATTGGAGAATCCTCAAGTTTGGAAGCTTTTCTAAGACCACAAACTTGTCCTGATTTAACAGAAAATAGGCCAGTTCCAATTTGGTGAGGCTTTTCGGTATGAAGGAAAAGTTCTGCTGTGATGAACCACCAAACAGACCCAATTTGGTGAGATCATAGCAGTGAGAAAGTAATTGCAGATCTGAAAAATCGCATTCGTTCAGTTCAATGCATAAGGATCGAAGATGGCCTAATCGAGAGCTGAGGGACTTAAGGACCAAGCCAACATCGTTATCTCTTCTGAACATTCTTATTTCTAACTTCAAAATATTAGGCAATGGGAGGACTGCACCATTTCTGATTAAATCCCTAGCATTAACACCCTTCAATTTCTCAATATTTGTTAGGCAATTGTTTCCAAACAGAGGACTTCTTACTATGGGACATGCTCTTGTTGAGCAAGGCAATGATAAATATCTCAAATTAATCAGTCTTGATAATGTCCTAGGAAGAAAGACTTCCGAATTATCTCCAAGATCTAGAGTGTGCAATTTCGGCAAGTTACCGATGGAGTTTGGCAATCTCCACTTTTTCTCGATACCGCATATCCTCATGTACCTCAAGTGAACTAAATTACCGATTCCCCTCAGAAGTTTAGTATCTGTAAATCTTCCCCTAATAAAATCAAGTTCCAACACTCTTAACAGCATAAGACTTTTCTTTCTTAGGGATAAAAAAGGAAGAGTATGCATACCGAAGCATAAAAGCGAACGAAGATGGGGGTGTACTTGTTGCATCGATGGTGCACCGCAATCCCGACCATGGTTAACATGAATAGTGACGCGACGTGCATGAGTTGTAGGAGAGTAATGATGGACTGAAGAACTGGGCACCATCATGTTCATATTGTTTTGCTTCATAATCCCAAAGAAAACTTCCTCCTTTGATTTAGATGTGCAGAAGTCTCGAAATAGATCGTGCAATTGACATGTTTTGACGCCTTTTCCTGTATGGTCCCTCTTCCCCACTTGAACCATGCATCTATCTATTAGCTCTCCCAAGTATTGTTCAGCTATATTTTCTGCTTGTACTTCTCCTCCCAATATTGGTACAAAGCCTTCTGCAATCCATAGTCGAATCAATTTTCTTTTCGGAATATCAGTTTCTTCTGGAAAGATTCCTAAATAAAGAAAGCATGGTTTCAAATAATAAGGCAAATCTTGGAAGCTCAATTCCAAGATATCTTCCACTCGGTATTGCCGCTCCGATTTGAGATTATTGATGATGAGTGTCTTCACATCTTTCTTCAGCTTTTCCAATTGCTGTGATGAGTTAATCTTTGTTCTCAATAATCCTGCAAGTACAACAATTGCAAGAGGTAGTCCTCCACATTTATCCAACATCTCCTTTCCTAGTTCCTCAAATTCTGATGGATAACCACCGCTTTCACTCAAAGCCTTGCTCGGAATTGCTTTACGCTTAAGAAGCTCCCAGCTCTCTTCAGGCGTTAAAAGCGGAGGTTTGATTGCAGAGCTCTGAGGATCAGCAGAGAACGCTACTCTCTCGATGCGCGTGGTAAATAAAATTTTGCTTCCCGGCTTCCCTATTGGAAAAGCACTTTGAATAGTAGACCAAGCCTCAATGCTCCAAACATCATCAAGAACTATAAGATACCTCTTATCTCTTAACTCATCTTTTATGCTTTCAACCAAGTCATGATCTTCCAGCCCTTTTAGAATCTCTCTTCTATTTCTCCTTTCTTCTAAAAGCTCCTTGATAGGTATTATTTCCTTCCGCAAAATTCTTTCCTGTTCGGCCTGGAAACCAACTTGCATAAGGATTTCCGACAAGACCTCCCTTAGCACGTACTTTTGCGATACAAAAACCCAAGCGTGGCAATCGAATTGCTTCATTACATCAACATCTTTATAGACTTTCTTGGCTAAAGTTGTCTTGCCCAACCCTCCCATACCTACAATAGATACAATGGACCGCCGATCTTCCTCTTTCATCAGCTGAGCCTTCAAAGCCGCCATGGTACTCTCCATGCTTATAACATGACCATCTTCTTCATCATCATCCGGATATGATCTCCTCAAATTCCTCAAAGAATCAAATACTTCTCCACTACTAAACTGAATCTGGTACCTTTGCCTGCTTTCGCTGATGCTTCTGAGCTTATCCTTGATAGAGTTTATCCTCTTTCGGAGTTTAATGAGGTGAAAGCCACCCTTGAGTACACAGGAGGAGTGAACTTTGTATATGTAAGTGTCAATGGCATCCTCAATCTCGCAAGCGAGGTCTCGAACTTCTGCCACCCAGTTTCGGACACGCTTGTCTTGTTTCTGCTTGTTGCTGGCATCTTCCAAGAAGCACTTGATCCGAGTCAACTCGGTTCGCAAATTCTCCACATCATTCTTCACGCTGCTCAAGGAATCAGCTTCATGTGTGAGGAGGTCATCGATTCTTTGGATTGCTTGGGACACAAAAGCCTCAGCCAAATTCAATACTAGAAATTCAGCCATGGAAACTAGGCACAAGTACTGGTGTTTTGCTTCCTAATTCTCTATATGGCACAACGAACACCAATCTTTCTTCCAAGATTTTTCCTCTGTCATAATTATTGGACTAAAAATTCTAAGATTCCGAACATGTTTCGATCGTTGACCGTGGACTTGATTTCATCTGACCGAGCTATTCCGCAAGTCTTGTTATTTTAATTTGTCATTTTGGCATCTTGCAATATCTCTCCTCTTTCATTACAGTAATTTGTTTGAAAGTCAATCATGGACCTTCGTCGAAAGAAAAATAATAATAATAAATAAAAGGGAGATTCCAATGGACCTCCAAGAAATGACATATTTCTGTTCCGTATGTTTAATTTTCCAAAGGAGGGATGGAATGGGGCATAAAAGACATTATAAGTGGAGGGAATTCGAATCATTTATTTTGGTTAAAAGACCTTATTTCTGTTCCATGTGTAAGGTTCATTTTTTTTTTATTTTTTATTTTGGTTAAAAATTCAGAGGTTGATCACGAAAGCATCTTTTGCATAAGATTAGTTTTTTTTAAGCAATTTAAGATAAATAGACAAATATATATATATATATATATATATTTTTTTTTTCAGAAACAAATACGAGTATTTTCAACATTCACGTAACTAGTACTTTAAACTTGCAATTTTAAATAAGTACCAATGTTTTTAAATTGGGTTTTATTTCACGAAAGTTTCTCCAATAGTCCCTCCCTACTAGTAGTTCTAGTTTTCAACGGTTGAATTTGATCAAAATCACACCAAATTGAAAAAAATAAACAGAACAGACAGATTTTAATACAACTCTAACGGTTAAAAAATAAAAAAAACCGGTAGTCCCATTTTTACAGGAGCTAGCAGAGAAACTTCCTTATTTCACATCACGGGTTTGACAATCAGAACATAATGAGAAACTGTGAAATATCTCCATTATGTTAATTTTATTGTTACTACTGATTTCATGTAGTCACATGAAAAGTGGCATGAAGCTTTAAGAAAATTTCCCAACAAAACAGTATATGAAGGAGAATAATTCTTGAATGTTAATGGGGAATCCAAGATTCAATCTGTAAATTTAGGTTTTATATAGAAAAGATATCCCTGAAACTGAAAATTTATACAGAAGACCTCATATAATCAGCAAAATGATTCTCAATTGTGAAATCATGAACATGCACATCCAAAAGAAATAACAAAGTTTTCTTCTGTACTCCAATGAAGAGAAGTGCGAGTGTGTTACTACAGAAGTATCCTTGTAAAGAACTATAAACTGCAAAATAATTGATTCATATTCACCAATATATTAACCTGAAGCAGCACTCTTAGCTGAGTTGTTGCCTCATGAGAAAGGAAAAAGTGTGCCTATTGAATAGACTCTTTATTCTCAGGCTCTTGTTGCTGAACAACTGGATCCAAAGAGACAGCTTTATCCGAAACCGTCCCAGAAACATGGTCGCTTAAGCCTGAATTCTCTCCTGGAACCGTAACTGCATTACCAATGGGAACGTTTACATTCTTTGTTGCAACATCATAAGTTTCAGTTTCAGTTTTGGCGTCTGTGTCCCCAGCTGGTGGGGCATTGAACTCTGTGGTCAGGGATTGCAGCTCACTCTTTGTCACGGCCGTAGGAGCATTTTGGTTCCCACCTTCTAGTGTCAATTCAGTTCCTTGAGTCTGCGAAATGGGTTGGTTCTGAGTTCCCGAACTTGAACCCGGTGCAGGGGTGACCCCCACCGTCCCTGGTGCTGGGGTGACCCCCAACGTCCCTGGTGCTTGGGCTTGAGAAAGCACATAAGTCATCAGAAGCTGAGCCAGGAGAACCTGAGGGTCATTAACGACTTGCTGAACTTGAGGGGCGAGTGAAGTGGATGGAGCATTGAAGTTAGGTGGATAGAGTGCTTGAACACCCGCTTCTCCATACATAGCTCGGTGGCCATGAAAGCGCTTGAGGTTTGATTGGTGTTTCTTACCAGTCAAATGACTGTCAAACACAACCTGTGACTCACACTTTACATTGCACAGCTCGCATATTAAAGGAATCATCTGTTTTGGTTTGGGAGGCTTAACTGGTCTTCTTGATCCTTCATTACCTCTCAAGTACTTACCCCCTCGGCCGCCTCTCATCTTGCGCTTAGAACCATGTGCCCTCGCTGGAAATTGATCCTGCTGTATCTTCTCTGGTTCTGCCGAAGCTTCAGAAGTGCCCCCCACAGCACATTGTTGGTCTGTTTCATTGCTATAATCATTAGTGTTAACTTGAGAAGTAGTTTCTGATAAGGGTTGGTTTGCATCAACTTTCTCAGGCTGACCAACATCGGTTTTTAATTCAGTGTTGGGCATTTGTGCATTCTGCTGTCCAGTAGTGACTTTGTTGAGTTTCTGCAACTCCTCGAAAACCTGCAAATTCTTTTTATGTCGCTTTCCGTTCTTATGCTTCTCGAGTATTTCCAGAGTGTTGCAGTCAACCCTACAAAGTTCACACCATGCCATGTGGGGAGGCTGCCAGAATGGAGCAGCAGGCACTTGTGCCGGTACAGGCAATGGCGCCTGACCAGGAACCGATACTGAAGGCTGCTGCACAAAAGCAGCTTCACCTTCAGCTGGTACGGATGCTGAATTTGGATTGGTCAATACAGCACCATGCGATGCAAAGTGCCTACCACCACCCTGGCCACGTCCCCTGCCACGGGAAGAGGGTGCGGAGCCATCCGGTCTAGGACCATGGCGACCAAAATGGCCCCGACCCCCTCTGAAGGGCCTATTGCCCCTTCTACCTCCTCTAGATGGAGTATACCCAATCTGCAGAATAGCATTTAAGTATAAAACAGTCCATCTAACAATCTCATTACCAAATGTTGACATGAACCGGTGAAAATTAATTGAATCATCTGACACCCAACAACAAAGTAGTAGAGAAAACAAAGAAACTGAAAGATATTCAACAAAGAAACTGAAAGATATTCTAACTTTTCACTTTCACACACTGAGAGAAGCAATGAATAACACAACAAACAAATACGTTAGTGAGTTAAAGCAATCAATCAGACTAAATTGTATAGTAATTCGTTATGTAGTATAAGCATCAATGAATCAAAAGTTAAAAAGATTCACATCTGATCACTCCATTCAAGTCTAAATTTTCAGAAACTTCAATTCTACATGAAAAAGCATCGACACTAGCTTAGATTTAAGCCCTATAATTCACATAATACAAACACAAATAACCAAAATATGACGAAATATAATAAAAGATCATTGATTTTCTCATCAAATACTTTCAGTCATCAAAATACGATATACCTTCCGACATAAAACCCATTCATTTATTTCTTTATGAATCTCTAAAATCAATTCAAAAGACTGAATTATCTACAAAGAAATGACTTTATGCAAACCCAATCACCTCAATCCTCAACTTAAAAAAAAATAAATAAATAAATCAAAGCCCTTACCGGGACATGCAAAGAATTCTGCGCAGCATCCACGTTCCCCGGGAACTGCGCAAGCTGCGAAATCGCCGCCACTGCCGCCGCCGCCGCCGCAGACGGGTTCAACCCGAAATTCAAACCGGAATTCGAACCCGAACGCGGAAGACTCTCCGCGGCCCCATGCGGGTAATAGTAACCGTTTTGCTGGTTCTGCGGATCGGTTTGCTCCGGCTGCGGGGGCGGAATTGGGACTCCGGGAGGGTGAATCGAAGTGGGTTCGTGGGGGAATTGGTGATGGGCATAGGAATTGGAGTAATCTTGGGAGGAATGGTAATATGGGTATTGTTGATTATGGGCGTAGGAATAGTAGGGTTGGGACGAGGTTTGATTATCATAGGATTGTTGTTGGAATTGCGATGAATCGTATGATTCTTGTTGTCGTTGTTCTTGATTTTGGTATTGTTGATCGTCTTGTTGTGTGTAAGAGGAATAATCCATTTCTTTTTGGTTTGTGTGGCGCTGAATTTTGATTCTTCTTCAAGACAAGGAAAGTTCAGAGGGGAATAAGAACCAGAAGGATGCGTTGTTGCAACACATGGGAAACATCCAAATGCATGATTATGAATTATCTTTTGTAATTTAACTTTTATTCTTTTTTTTTTTAATACAATTTTTCAGACACGAGTGTTTTTTTTTTTTTTTTTTTTTTTTTTTTTTTGGGGGGGGGGGGTTGAGAAATAGAATATGGTGTTCCTTAAAAAATAAATAAGGGAGTTTACTTATAAGTAAATAGAAAGACAAATTCCCAGCAAAAATAAAAAAATAATAATAAGGTTACTTATCTTCCTTACTGTTACTGACATTAAATTTAAGCTGTTACGTTTACATGATGGAAATAAATGAAGCACTCTTATTTAGAATACTACTATTTGAGATTTTGGATATATTTCTACCATTTATTAAAAAAAAAAAAAAAAAACCCCTGGTTCCGAAAAAATTTTTTAAAAAAAAAAAAAAAAACCCCTGGTTCCGAAAAAATTTTTTAAAAAAAAAAAAAAAAACCCCTGGTTCCGAAAAAATTTTTTAAAAAAAAAAAAAAAAACCCCTGGTTCCGAAAAAATTTTTTAAAAAAAAAAAAAAAAACCCCTGGTTCCGAAAAAATTTTTTAAAAAAAAAAAAAAAAACCCCTGGTTCCGAAAAAATTTTTTAAAAAAAAAAAAAAAAACCCCTGGTTCCGAAAAAATTTTTTAAAAAAAAAAAAAAAAAAGACATCCAATGTGTAAAATGCCAAAAGAACAAGGGTAGTAAAAGAGATAAAATGGTATATTGTATGAATTTGTGCATGTGAAAAGCAAATTTGAGACATTGCCACATTGGTATGATATAATTTCTATCTGGGAACATGTATGCAATTTTTCCCTTGTGAAGAGTCGCTTTTGTTGTGGTAAAATATACAAAAAAAAAAAAAAAAAAAAAAAAAAAAAAAAAAAAATAGGATTCTATAGGTCAGGAATTCCATGGCATGCCCTTCTCACTTTCAGTCCAAGGACAAATGCCCTTAATTTTGGTCATCCAAAACCAGTTATTGGTTTCCTAGATATACATAATAGTTCAATGTCGTATGTGGTTCAAAGGGATTTCACCAAAAAAATATTGACATCCCATTAGTGCCATACCCCCATCGTTCTTCTTGCAGAAAGATGAAGTGACAAAACGCACTTGACTACGAATGCCTCAAAAAGAATCAGGAATGTTTTTGCCTAAACACTTCAAAGTTGGACTTCATGAAGATCAACCCCAAAACTACCACTATTTCTTGGCAGCAGCGCTGGAGGATCGTTTGGCGCGTAAAGTGATGGAGATTTGTCTAGTGCTTCTCCTAATGGTTTTATTTCCTTCATCATAGGAGGACTGCGTGCATCGGTAAAGCTTCCACTCCACGATACAGTTCGGCGGGAGTTAGGCGGAAGAGAACTATTGTCTTTTCCCATTTCCCCGGGTTTACTTACAATGGTGTCCATGCTAGGGAACCGTTGCATAGCCATCATTGATACTGATGTTTGTGTCGTGGAAGACGATGAATCCTCTTTTGTAAGTGTTGAGGAGTCGCTGTTGTTCATAGTGGCATCTTGAAAGCTTTCTCCACCTGTTTGGACTGTCTCCTCCGATGAAGTTATGGGAGCAGGGATGAAAAACTTGGGATTGGAACCACCAACAGGTTTGGCAGCTGGAGTAGAAGGTGAATGGAATATGTTCGTCGCGGTCCCACCACCCTTGTTGAATGTATCGACATACCTGAGGCAAGTTTGATGTGTTTCAAACGTAAACTAGCGGCAGATAAATAGAGAAAAGGGACTCAGAAATGAAGATGAGTTTCCTAAATTTTGTACCTTGACCGAACACCCATACGCCCGCGTGCGGAGAACTGATTTGAACTGGGGGGAATAGGCGGCGTTCCTGGACTCTTCTCCGAAGAGTTTGGAGATTTAATTTCTGGTCCAGAAATTGGGTCAAATCTTTCAGGCTTTGGAGAATTTTCCATGCTGTAATCTTGTATCCCACTCTGGAAAGCTGCAGTTGTTGGTGGAGGTGCTAAGGCGGTTTCTTCTGGTGGAGGTTCGGTACCTTTTTCAACCCAACGCTTGAGTTTCTCGTCATAATAGAAACTATTTGGCTCGCCCAATTTGGCCTACAAAAGAACCCCAAACAGATGAAAATATCATTCTAACGAATAGAAGGTCGTCAATAAAAATAAGAAAAGAAAAATTGAACACTGGTAACTACCTGCTTATTGGGACGGGATCGAATGACCAATCCTACAGTCTTCTGGAATAACTGTGAGCCGAAACTACCAAAGCGAGAACCACTAGATGCCAAAGTTCGTTCTTGAGCATTAGAAGATTTTTCGTCCTTGGATGAAACAACAAAAGTTTTTGATGTAATCACTTCCCTTACGAGCGTCCAACAGTATGCTAATAAATATTGAACGCAACAGAAAAAAAGGAAGTACCTTTTGAGGATTTCTACTGAAGTCCGGCTCTGAAATGCTTCTGTTGTGCTTTGTTTTGTTATCACTCTCACCAGTCCTTTCACTTATTGGTTCCAATGATGCTGAAGGCATTAACGAGGACATGGCCATTGTTGATTGACTGTTGGATACTCTTGGACCTCCTAGTTGCTGAGCGTATTCAATAGGTTGGGCACCGCCTTGTGGTGTCGAAGGTACGGGTGGAGGTAAGCCACCAACGACACGAGTAGCTGTATTATCAAAGAAGGTACGCAATTTCTGAGCCAAATTTGTACCATAACCACCCTGCACATAGTATCCTCATAAGCGAATATATATATATATATATGCCGTCTACAGAAAAATGAATTTATGGCCAAACTATAGCTAAAAAATTTACTTGCTGATGGGTTTTTATTCGCTCTTCTAGAGATAACACTAATTGTCTCCACATTTCCACTTCAGGCGCTCGACCAGTTTTTAGAGACTTCAATATTGCTTGGCAGTACCTGCTCAAACATTACGTGGGAGTGAGAAATAACCATGTTAACAATGATAATGTGGGAATAAAAATAATCCAACTAACTCTTACTTCAAAGCATCTGAAATCTTTCCAACTTCAGCCAGCATGTGGGCATAAATAAGCTTATATGGCTGAAAAGGTAGAAGGAGAAACTGAGAATTTCCAAGAACCTTAGAATATTCGTATAATTCTGTCCTCTGTCCAGGAATTCGAATTGTTAGTATGGTTGCTTTATCTGAAAAGTCCAAGCAAAAGAAGAGCAAATCCAGGAAAGTAGAAAACAAAAGATCAAATAAGCGATAGGCTCTTTAGTTCGAAGAAATTGAAGATGGTGACTCTAAGCTATCCAGTATTTATTAAAAATAATCATGATGATGACAACAAACCACTCCGCAAGCAGACTGTAAGACGTGCTCGTATTTTGAGGCTACAGATCGTAAGACCTTCACATGAAACCCCAGATTGTGCAACTAACAAGTAACAACTAGTAAACAACAGGTAAGCAGGAAATTCAAGCTTAGTATACTAGTAAATTCTTTGTTAGTTCCTGAAATTCCCTTTGGTTTATACTAAAAAATGCTACAAAAAGACACAGACTTGTTCGAGGGAAAGACCTGAATAGCTTCAGGACTAGCATATGTTCGAGGGAATTTCCAATGATCTGCACCTATAAGACACAGCCTTGCACCGTCCATATGCGGCTCGAAGTTGGCTTCTGCAACCAAATAGCATATGTGTGCAGCTGTGATCTGTATGTATAATGAATTTCCGGTCAGATATGCTTCCAAAGAGGATAAACATGTTTAGAGTCCCAAAGACACAAAGGAAGCCCAATCACAAAAACTTTTAACATACATCTCCTGTCTCCTTCCAAAGGCAATCGCCAAGATGAATGATAACAAGCTCATCATCTTTTGTTCTGTTTGCAGTTATGATGGCTAGATTGTCTGTCCATTCATCCAAGGTATAGTTAGCTTTTACCTGTCATACAAATAATAATTAAACAAGCTGAGGAAAATTGATTTAAGGAAATTTTACCCATATTTAGATTAAAGACATTCAGCTCAGCCAAAATATGTAACAATGCAGAAGGAACTAATTTCATTCATCACCTGTGCTGGTTGTTGGAATACGTTTAAGGAACTGGCTAGACTGCTCTGAGTAGTAGCATTGGAGAACACGTCAGCGGGTTGCCCAGCAATAAGAAGGCATAAGGTTCGCAATGGTGATCCCGCTATTAACTGCTTTACTGCCATTTTCTTCACAGTATCACTATAAAACTGCAAGCATTTTAAGCACGAAACAAATGGGCGGCGTTATCATTAGAAATCAACCCCTATTTTAAAGACTTAATATGCTTATGATGAAATGTGGATCAGTCATTCAAACATTAAAAAAAGTTGCAAGATATGGAAGTAGAAGGAACCTGGTCGCCAAGTTGTGAAGCAAGGACAAGTGCTGGACCCCACAATTGACCTTCTTGGGCGTATTCTAGAGCATCCTTCTTCCTGCCAGAGACAAGCAGCTTCTGTACCTCAAGGGCAGTAGCCTAAACCAATTTACACATTATAAATAAGTCACTGAAGAAATTCTATGGCCACAAAGTAATTACGGATGACAATTTTAGATGAAAAAAAAAGGGACAGATGTGACTTACCTGAATCTGACCTTCAGAAGGGATGTTCTGTAAGCAGTACCTAAAAGCCCCATCCTCTTGGTTTCTTTTAGCAGATGCGAAAAGCTTCGCAACAGCCGACTCTGGACTATCATTTTCCTAATTTAATTAGCATTGAAAACACTAATCAGGTAAGGTATTAAAGATAAAATAATTTAACCTTACGACCCATCAAATCTAATGTAAATAAAACAAACATTTTTTCATGACAAAGACAAGCTAAAAGTAAGTACACAGTTTTCTTTCGAACAAAGGATTAAAAAATACCTTCAACACTTGATCAGTTCCAAAGGGAGATCGAAATTTTCCATAATACTGTAACGCTATCTTCAGCAACGAGAAAAGCAACCTCAAGAGATCCGCTTTTCTGAAATCCATATATGGGGCTCCATAGCTCGCAATCTTTTCATCAACCCATTTATTTAACTCCTTGCTTCCAGCATTCCCTCCAACCAAAGGACCAGGAAAAGATTGCTGGCACAATGCACGAAAATAATCGCGACCACCAGTTTCGAAGCCTGAGGTATCAGTTTTATCCGCGAAAACATCCATCATGTTGAGAATACTGATCACGGCTCCTCGTGAATCCTTCACGTCACCGATATAACAATGTAAAATACATTGAAGATTATGCAAATACCTGTCCAAGCATAAAAGTTATATATATAAGGCCTAACCTGGCTTCCGTACGCTGAGTTTGCTTGAACAGAATTGGCATCTTTCATAACAATGAGCTTTCCACCAAATCCAAAGGTAACAAGAGCATGCGGCGGTCTTCTTGCAGATGTCCTCTCTTCACTGCTAGAGTAAGAGAATGAAGTTCCACTCTGGAGAGACTGCTGCGCAAAAAATACTGCTTTCTGACCGTCGAATTGTTGAGGTGAAAAATGCATCTCTTGGTACTTCTCCTCCTTGACTTGATTATCAATCTGAGAAAAGTTCCCCACATCATCAACATTTTGAAACCCAACATTACCGCCGTCAAATCCCTGACTTGAGTTCTCATAGAGAGAAACTGATCCCAACCCAGTTTGTTGGTTTCCATGATCTTTTAACACATGCCGGTTCCCTAATTGCTGACTTCCGGCATAGCCAATGGTCACGCTTTGCGCAGCTTGCTGAGTTTGCCACACATTCGCATTTACATTCGCAATGCCTTCTTGACTACCAACGTCTTGTGATCTGTAATTCGCATTCTTATCGCGATATTGGTCATTTTGTTCAACCCCTTGTGAGTAATACGCAGCTTGACTGTAAGATTCCAACACTTTCCATTCTTGGGAAATCGTGTCATAATACCACCCGGGGTATTGCGGATCAAACACCATATGAGCAGGATATTGTGTATTGTTTACCTGAGACATTTGGTTCCATTTCAAAACAGAATGCTGTGAATTCAAGTTAAAACTCTCCTGCACAGCAGCACTAGAATTCAAATTATCATTTTGGTTTGCATTTACATCATAACTCTCCACCAGATACCACTGCCCGGTATTCGGATCATACTTCCAACCCGGATAAAGATTTTCCCAATTTTGCTCCTGAGAATTCCCACTGTACTGATCCTCTCTATTCTGCTCTAAACCTGAAGAACCCAAATCAGCAACACCATCTTTCACACTAGTTTCAACCCATGACTTGTCTCCTTCATCCACATTCGCAAAAGGGTCCTCCGAACTCTCATCCACCGCGCCAAAAAGATCCGAAAACGACCCGAATCCACTTCCACCATGAAGATTCGAGTCCGAGTTAAACGAGTCCCATTGAACAACTTTCACCTTCCCTGACTCAGACACTTCACTCTTACCTTCTTCACCATCAAATTCACTCTCTTTTTTCGTCTCATTTTCACTCTCTTGAACCAGCGAATCGCTCTTCTCTTTCGCACCCAAATCAGGGCTAATCCCAAAATCTTGACTGGAGTCAACTCTAGAGGATTCCACTCCCGAAATGCTCAAATTGGAAAGCTTATTCTCAAAGGTGGAGACAGTGAAACCAATATCATCATCATCGTTGACTAACCTGTCGAAGAAATCCTCGTCCGTCTGATCCTCCGCCTCAAATGGAGAAGACGCCATGATTCAATTCAATTCAATTTCAATTCCCACAAGAAGTCAAACAATTGCGATTCATCGAAAAGTCATTCCAAGAGAAAGAAAATCAAAGTGGGCACTTCGGAAACGTGTCGAATTCCTCTGAAAACCTGAAATTAAGAGTGCTCAACTCTGACCGAATTAGTGAGATCCACGGTACCTTCAAACCCAGAAATTTACTCCATTTTTGGGTTTGAATACTACACTACATTGAAAATAAAATAAAAAGAGTAATATAATTCGAATGAATATGAATAAAGAAATTATAAATGGCTTACCGATTTAACTGAGAAATTGTGACAGACAGAGAAATGGGTTCTGGGTTTACGGTTTACTAAAGAGACAAAAAATGGATCTTTAATTATTATAAATAAAAATAAAAAATAAAAAATAAAAAATAAAAGATGTTTTGCAGCGGCAAAAGAAAGAAGAGAAGACTCGTAAAAAGGTTGACATCTTTATAATTTTTTTTTTTGGTTAATTATTATTTGTGTATTATGTATTCCACGTGTGGATATAGAGGGACACTCTTTTTTTTTTTTTTTTTTTTTTTTGAGAATAATTTAGAGGGACACTTCAGGTGCACACCACGTGATGGACTTGAGTGAAAATATTGGGTTAGGTTGCCTCTCAATTTGCTAGCTGATTTATTTTTAAAAGATTTTTAGTTGACTTTCTTGCTGTTTTCGGCCCTTCTTGCTTTTTCTTAAGACGATTTTTTTTAATTTGTATGGTAATTGAGAGCTCATTTAGTTTGTTGATTTTAATTTTTAATTTGAGTTTATATGTGATTTTATGTTAAAATTTTTTACTGTAGCAAAAAAAAAAATTAGATGTGACTGTTTCTGAAAGTTTTTTACTGTAGTAAAACTCGAATTCTAAACTCGAATCAATGAAATGAACGTGACATGATATCTTATTAGTAAAAACTGCTATTTTATTTATTGATTTAATTTTTCAATAGATTAATTTGTAAGTATGAGCATTTTTTGTCGCTTAATGTAACTTTTTAATGTAGATATTTACATATTAGACCGTTAAAAAACTAATATGATAATACTAGTAGATAAAATAACATTCTTACCATATGAGGTCTTCTAAATATGCTATTGTCCTCCTTATCCCTCTTTGTTTTTTCAGTTTCTTATTTTGATAAAATAGAAGAGAGCTGAAGTAATTAAGTTTTGGACTTTTAGTTAAAAGAAGGTGACTAAACTAATCTAAAACCGATATTTTTTTTATTTTTTTAAAAGGTAAACTGATATTGTGTTTATATTAAGGATAGAAATCTTACCCACAGGTATGGGTACCTGTGAATACCTGTCCTTAATAGGACGGGTATCAGAGATACTATATGGAGGTGGGAGCGGGTATGAGGTTTAGAATTAACTCCGAGTGAAAAATAGAGTGGGGTGAGAGAAGCTCTCTCATCCCGCCCCAATCCGATTATATGTACTTTTACTTTCTATATATTATATATATAAATATATATATAATATACTTTAAAAAATCTTAAAATTTATGTATAATAATTAATAATTATAAAGATAAGAAAAACTACCAAAAAGAAAAAGAGAAACTATCCTTTTAATTATAATATTGTTCAATTATAAATAACAAATTTTAATGTCCTGATTATATGTTCTTTTGTGAGAATTTTTTAATTTCTCTTTCTTAATGGGTAAATGGGTATAGTATGAGAATAGTTCTTGTTGACGGTCAAATTTCGTCAACAAAGTCGTACCAGATTACCCCGCGATATCCCGCTTGGTTACCGGTTCGGAACTAGTATTTTTGCTGAATATGGAAGTGTGGTTGTATTTTTAGGTAGGTTACTGAATAAGAATACTTTATCTCATGCACAAAATAAATGACACATAGATTTTATAGTGGCTCACCCTTATAGAATAAGAGCTACATCCACTGTATTATATTTCTCTTCATTAGTTCTTTACAGATTACATGAACAAAAAGATATCCAACCCCTGCTCTCAGGGGTTTCTTCCTATTTATAGCCCAGACGCATCCTTTTCCCCACCGTGAGCTTCTCCCTGGACTTTCCCTTTGGTGGTCCCCATATGGCCCACTCACTCAAGTGGGCTACCATATTGCCTATCCAATCCGTAGCCTGCCAGTGTCCTTGGGACTGTTCACTCACCTAATTTGTCCCCCTATTATAGCTCTGCAGATCCTCTGTAATGCCAATTGATATGCTCTAGGCGGTGATTAACGCCCCAAAGTGATATTCACAAGCGGTCAATTGTAGCACAGAAAGGCGGTCGTATCCACGGAGAGATAACAAAATAACAAGAATGATTAATAGAATAAGAGCGTTAGAAAAAAATGAATTAAAGAAAAATGAGAGTTTTTGAGATTTTTGTTGCAAATAAAATAAAAAGGAGAAAATCTGTAAGAAGAAAACGGTAAGGTGTCGAGAATTCTTAATGTTTCGTTCACCAATCCAAGTTTTGATTCACAATATTAAATAACCAAATAAATTAAATCTGTACGTTGACTCCAGAAATATTATTATTACAAGTTATCTAAAATGGACAATATATCAATCTGACAATATTGCAGTAAAAGACAATTTGTAAACTAATTTGAATAACAAAACATTGCATGACAGAATTACATAAGAAAAGCGTGACTGAACTTATATAAAAATTGACACACAATATTTTGAAAAGTAATAGAAAAGTAGATGAGATTTAATTCATTCAGATGTTGAAGTTTACAAAACAAGGAATCAAAACCCCGAATTGGGTCACTCAACAGAAGTTCATCTCTAACCTCACCAAGAAAACTCTAGCCTATCTTGCAAAACATTCTCACAAGTTCTAGAGAGAAAATATGAGACTGACAGCAAGACGACAGAAAACTGAATATCCCAAAACCTCCAAAAACCTTAGGCTAACCCCTCTATTTATAGTGTTCAGAGGTTGCCTGTCAAATAAGGAAATAAATTGTAAAACTAGGGAATTCAGATTCAGCGCCGGAGGGACACGTGTCGAAGCTTGATTGGATCAAAGGAATAAAGCGCCACGTGTCGCGCGTGAAATGGAGGAAGTCTGCTGGCGCGGTCAGAGTGGAGATAGCTCATGGGACAGATGTCGCACGCGGAGGAAAGAGCAGGCTAGCGCACTGAGTCGCGGGGCCCACGTGGAGGAACGCTCTAACGCACGTTGATGGCTGCGTGGAAGACACGCGCGCCCTGAGAGATCGGCGTGCTGGTGACGCGCGCGAGAGAGAGTGGGGAAAGGCGGACAGCTGGGGCCCACGCGGAGAGAGATAGTGGCTTGGCTCGGCTTGGTGCGGCTCGGTGCGGCTCGGCTGAGGCTTGGCTCTGGACGGTTGAAAACATGGCTTTCATGGCTTATTTTTATGTAGCTTTTTACACTGTAAATAATTAAGCAAAAACTAGACAAATTCTAATTAAAAATATTATGAATAAAAATAATGGAATTGTTTAATTAAAGCTTAAATATTTTAATATTATATAAATCAAAAGCAGTATTTATGGTGCATTTTTCATGCACTAATCACAACCCCCAACCAGCTTATTACTAGTCTCTAGCAATCCAAGCGCAAGAGAAATCATGTCACAAAGAAAATCTGAGTCTCAACTACCTTAGTCACCTTGGTATTTCAAACAAACTGTCAGTGAGAAATCAAAAGATACTATCAAGATTATTTCAGTCATAACTCGAGAGTCGTGTGTGTGTGCTCCAAACCATAACCTTCTTACCACTGACCATAACACATGCAGCTTTGAAAAATTCACCAAGTAAAAGTCTCAACTCCATTGATCTTACAGGTGTCAGAAATATTTGAGTGTAAAGGTTTTCTCTTATGGAGTTGGAAGCGGAACAATCAACGCTCAGTGTGAGGAAGATCAAATTTAGGACAAACAGTCAAACGAACATTGACCAAAAGATAGGTTAATCAACTACTAGAACATTCCACCATTCTTACCACAAACCAGCTTTTGGGATTTCATTCAGGTCAAACAGAAATTTATAAAAACGATTAAAGAGCCAAAAATGCATAGAAAAATAAACTACTCTTTTTTTTTCTTTGTTTTTTTTTTGTTTTTTTGTTTTTGTTTTTTTTTGTTTTTTTTTTTGGCAAGAGACAACCTGAAGTGAATGTAGAAAGGTGTTCTTTTAACAAACAACTATATAGCGTCGAATGTGATTAACACCAAACTATAGGATCTGTGAAATGTTGCTCTTGCTCAGTTTTTTTTTAATAGAAAAAAAAGTAAGAAATAAGGCTTTATTACATAAGATTATTCCTATCTAACCCAAAATTCATCCCTCAAGCATATGCACCAAGCATACCACTAACCATGTAATGATGTTCTAACAGTTATTTTACCAGCTCAAAAAGGTCAATGAAGGTTCAAAAGTCATTTTCTCAACTCTCTTAACTCACCAAAAATCAAGCACTTAAACTCAGGAATTTTCTCAGTTGACATGCATTAACATCCATCTTACCACAAGGTTTAGCACGTGCAAAAAGAAACTCTGAAAGTCATTTCTTAGTAACCAAGACAGCAAAAATCGACTCAAACTAATCATTTTGAAATCATACTCAGATAACTTCGCAAAAATTTTAACCCAAATA